ACTAACTAGTCCCTTTCGTACCAGTTTGAGCTGAGTTATGTACATCGCTCCCAATTGGATCACATATGTGGTAAAATATTGCAAATGTGTACGTTAAATTTTATTTGTTTCGCCAAAAAAGCGAAATACAAATGTGGCTCACCACTTGCTCCTTAGTATGACACCGAAAGGATCTTCTGTAATAACTTATGTTATTTATGTGAATATTTTTATATTATTACCAAACTGTATTTTTATTTAATGTTAACTATGGTAACTATTGCTTTTTATCTGGGTGTTATGGCAAAAGAGCGCGTTTTATGACCGCCGTGATCAAAACGGCGAGTTTTATGGCAAAAAGTGGCGAGTCAAGTGGCAAGCGTATAATAATAAATACTCATATTGAATTAGCAATTGAGTGCATTGCTTTCAGCTGGACACTACTTATAGAAATTGGGGCTGGAGTTTTATCGCTTTGAAATCGAAATCGCGCAAGGATTATCCTCCTAAACGATTTTTGTAACTAAATAATTTGGGTTAAAAAATGAAAACTTAATTATTTAACTCCAGCAGCTGGGATTTAATTTTCATTTTTTTATCCCGATGTTGGGATTATAAATTGCAGAATAATTTGTGATTAAAAATTTAAAATTTTATAATTTAGTTCAAAGGTGTAAGTTTGGAGACACAAAATTGAAGATGTGCGAGCTCTAGTAGAACACGGAGTTCGCAAATGGATAATATAAGGACTAAGTTTTTTTTTCAATCCTATAAATTTGTTTTTAATTTGTATTTTTTTTTTTAATACCGTGCTTGGGATTAAATATCTTACATAATAGTAAAAAAAAATTAATTCATATGTTAGTTCGATTATCTTTTTAGTGCAACCTTGCTCTTAAAACGGGTTACTTACACTTGAAATACACAAGCAGAGATGTTAAAAAATGTATGAAAAATTACAACAATTGCCAAATTAGTTATTCCCAAAAATTACAGAAATTTTGATGTTTGTTTTATACTTAAAATTTAAAAATTTAAACTTTAATTCTTGTTTATTCCTGCACTTGCTCAAAAAAGACATAAAAAAGCTTCACAAAAATATCCGAGTTCCACCTCGCGAAAAATGCAAATGATGCGCTACTGTTTTTCAAATATGCAAGCATGTGCGCATACACAAATACAAATCTATTGGCAACTACACAGTTTTTTCACTTCTCTGCCATTTTCGTTGCATGCCGCACTTGTGAGTAATTTTCGGTTTTTCTTCGCGCAACAACCGCAGAGCTCTATTTTTGTAATCGCTCAGTAAGCCACTGTTTTGTTGTTGTTGCTTTTACGAAATTTGCATATGCAAACCTTGGACAAATAATAGTAGCAGCGGAATTGAAAACCAAAATTTTTTTATGGTTTTGGAATTTTACTTTCGTTTATGGTGAGAATTCGAGCAGATGTTGGACTAACTAAGAGTAGGAGGTTATTTTGAATACTGTCTTTTTGCTATGCAGACAGAGAAACGTGTGCTGCGGTTAGGACGAATATTATGAAACAAAAGCTAAATAAATCAAATTTAGGCTAATATAAGGAGAAGGAAAGTAAAAAAATTTTTTCATGTTAATAACTTTGTGGCGCTGTTTATCTTTCCCATCATGTTTGGCCGAAAGTTGACCAGCATGGCACATAATACACATATACATGCACATGCATATATGAAATTATATATAGGCGCGGCGAACCCTTCAAACGGAACTCATACGATTCAAAACTGCAAGCAACGAGCTGGAAACAAAGAGTCAACTAATCCGCCAGCCCTGCTCCGCGAGGCTTTGACCCATCACCACTGACATCAACTGCTGCATATGGAATTGTGTCAGCAGAAGCTGCTAAGCAAATAGACCGGTGCAGCTGATAGCTGACAATATTTGTATTTGTGTGACATGTATTTGTACTCTATCAGCTGTGACGCATTATTGGCCCCACCACAATGCCTTGCTCAGGACGCGCCACAAGCGCACCAGCAATTTGCCATATTCTGTAGCCGGATTTTAGGCTGTGTGAGGCGAGGCGTGAAACTAAGCGGCGAAAAAACTGCGCGCTTTGATTAAATGCTTCAACGATTTGCGATTGTGTGCAGCGCTATGCAAATCACTGTTTATACGGCGGCTTCCGCCTCTCAATGCGAACTGATGTTTATATAATTGGTTTATATTTGCGGACATACTTTTAGGCGGCATAAATTTTGTTTTGATTTTAAATGCAAACAAACGCGCATTCAAATATTTCATCAGCTTATTTGCCTTTTCGCTGCGTCATAAAGGACAACTCAGCTGCGCGCACACAGGAAATCAGTCAGCGAACTGCATTTGTTTGTGTGTTGGCTCTACGGAGAGGGGGAAAGTGTTGGGGTCGCGTCGGGTGTATGCGAATGGCGGGTCGAATTCTGTGCGCATTCATGTTGGCTGTGATTTATTGCTGGCAAATGATTTATTTACATTCTTTGCCGCCTGTCTTGTTTTTAGTTTTAATAATACCATTTAGTATATTTTTCGCTTGAGAGAAAGTGCTGCCACTCGGTCAGGAAATGCTCTTTAAATAAAATACTTAATATAGAAATAGGTAGCTATGTGTGCCACCATATAGGCGTATTTGGTTTTATAACCCATTGGTATTCGCAATCGGAGTTTTCGCACAACGTTGTTGCGCTTCTGTCTGTGGTTTGCTGTTGTACAATAATTAATGTGAATCATTTGCCATTAATTAGTTTATAAATGTGTTGTATTTTTAACTCACGTACGATTGAATTGTGAACTGACAAATATGATAGCCGCCATTGTTTGTAATTACCTGAAAAGATAGATAGAATAACATAAAAGTGATGAGTTGGAGTTTTTTTTATGAAACGAGATTTTTAATTAAATAAATACGTTTTTAAATTGTAAATAAAGCTAAAATTAAGCTGAACAGTATTTAAATGCCTATGAAAATGCACTCAATCAAAACAATTGATTCATATAAATATAATTAAATTTAGCTGGAAACACATTTTGAAAGTGACTAAACATAATTTTTGTGCTCGCCAAAGAGATGGTGGCCTCATAACTACCATCATCTTTATTCGCACAATACTGTACATACTTTTAAACTCCCCCAACGGTTAATTAAAAACCCAAAAAGCCAAAAAAACGAAAAGTTTACGACGTGCTAAAGCTTAAAATGCATAAATAATTGCATTAAAGCATTTTTTTCTCACCGTGTACTTCACAAAAGGGCAATAAATTCATCTCCTAATAGGTTCTGGAGACTGTGAGCAAATGTGCATTAAGAAAATTACTGCATACTTACAGGCACATAATGGTGCAGTGTATTAAACCGCAATTATGACCTGTAGGAAAGCCAAGAGCAACAACAAATGCATTAGCAAGAGGAAAGTATGAAGAAATAGCATTAAAAAAATTATTTATGGGCAAACAACAGTATACAACAACAACAACATGAAGCTGTAAATTATTATTGTGTGCAGCTGCTTAAGCTTGGCGAAGAAGAAGCTTACAGCTAAATTAGTCTTCGAAAAGCCGAATATTGAAAGTTGTTCATAACTAGCCATACTTTTTTTCGTGTCTTTTTCTGATGGATTCAGTCCAGAGCGTGTGCATAATGTTAATATACAATCTTTATTATATAATAGTAAGTAATTATTAAAAAAAACTCAAGAAATATATTTTCTCAGAAATTTTTTTATTGACAAAGTTCAAATATATTTAGGAATAATCAAGGTACACATTCAATCGACTGTGTTTTGAAAATAATTCTGACTACTAAAAATATTTATAATGTGTGTGACCACTTGGGCGTTTTAGAATAACTTAAGTTTTAGTATAATCCGGAGGCCTTAGTATGACCATTTTATTATCTAGATACTGTTCTAAAGCATATGAAGAGCGAACTTAGTCTGAATTTTCACATATTGGAATGCAATAGATATATTCAACATAAGTCCATCTGACCGTATGTTAGCACTCATTTTACTCAAACACAAAAAATTTAGATCCTTTCAACAAATAATATTTATTTGCGCATTCATCTTAAATCTTGCCCAGAATTAAATTAAATATTTTTAAGGCTTCAGTAATTGCCACTTCCTCGTTACCTAATCGAGTGAAAATTCACAAATATTCACCTGCAAGTGTAAGGACAAAGTAAAATTTAACTGTGCTTCTAAGGAGAGATACCATAAATTGTTTTTATTGACACGCCAACATTTTTAACATTTTCATAGTATATCTGACATAAATTTACGCAGTCAACAACACAAACCGCTTAACAACATGCAAACACCCACCATCATCCGAAGACACACATAATTACTTGTACTCATAATTGTATACAAACGCCCACCTTACACACGCCTGAGTTGTTGGAAAATATTTTTGATTTGACGCCAATCGAATCAAAATTTAAAGCCAGGAAAAATTGACACTAATGCCAACACAAATCCTGTCAATAAATCAACTCAAAGTCAAAGACAAACAAAATTGACGAGCAACAATATAATAAACAAACAAGGTATTTAGTCCCAGCTTTAGGAAGTGACGAAGTCTTAGGTATTTGTTTTAATGCAAATTCCTTCTTTGTATGCGTCAAATGTAACTTGTTTGAGCGCTGTAAAGATTTGCAAGTTGCTTAGTCCTCTTTCTGTTTTAAGGCGTTTGCTGTTGCTTTTCGTTTGCTATATTCGTAATAACTTGACTTTATTTCACTTTGTGCGGGCCCTACCTTCTTATCTTAGCTTGTACGAAATAATCTTAAAATGCAAAAATTTGTATTTCCGTTGTAGACTTTTAGCCGTTGAAACTAAACTGATTTTGATTTCAGCAGATTTCGTGACGAAACGGCACATTTCTAACGAGACAGGGACGAGATGGTAAATAAGATTTGGATGTGCTTACACATTATTACGTTTGGGTACAATTGATTCATAAAGTAGATATACACATACATATACTTATGAATTATAGAGTTTTTCCGGTGCAAAGATCTTATAATAACCTTCAAAACACTGTGAGCTTTTTATAAATAGACAAAAAATTAATAATTTCGAATTTTTATTTTCTATCTAAAACATTTCAGACATCCATTTTTGTGACAGCTACATATTCCGTTTCTCACCAAGAAGCTGCTCATTTGGAATGGCCGATATCGGACCACTATAGCATATAGCTGCCATACAAACAATCGGAATCAAGTTGTTGTATGGAAATCTTTTTCATTTCACGAGGAAATGTTCATGAAATTCGGAACGAATTATTATCTAAAACAATAATGAAATCTCTGAAGAAGTTATATTGCTGTCATACAAGCTAAACGATCGGCATCAAGTTCTTCTGAGGTATATTTTGTATTTGTGAAGGATATTATAGCTTCCGACTATACAACTGTATAACTATTGCATCCAACTAGCTTACATCACATATATGTACGTTTCTTACATCGTAAACGTGTGTGTGTGGAGAAATAACTTTCAAACCTCAGCGTCGTGATTTCACGTTATTAATTGAAGAGTGTTATTTAGACTATTTTGGATTTCCTGTGAGCAATTTTAGTGAATCCTGGGTTCCACATAATTGTTATGCAAAGTGTGTGAAACTGCTATTAAGTTGGTCTAAACAAGAACCGAGACATATGCCATTTGCTATATCAATGATTTGGACCGAACTGAAGTATCATGTAAGTGATTTTTATTTTTTGTGTTTGTTGGATTCTAACAAAAGGCACTACACCAAGTCCAAGCCTTTCAGTGAGCCCTGATGACAATCTTTCACCACCATTGCTCATAAAGCTCGGCATGATAAAAAATTTTGTAAAAGCTATGTCTAGAGATGGCAGTAGAATTGTGTATCTAAAAGAGAAACTCTTTAATAGTGAAGCGCTATCAAAGGAAATAGAGCTCAGTGCTCTTGATTATTGTTAAAGATTTAAAAAAAACCTTTCAGAGGCCAAACAATCACAAAAATTATAAGTATTTTTTCTAAATTAAGCAACATTTTCTTTAAATGTGGCTGATGTTTCTGTCTTTTAAGATAATATACTTGTATGTTTTGATGTCACAAGAAAACCGAACTTATAAATTTTTTTCATTCACATAATATTGTTTAATGGCCCTAGTAAGTTTGTTAACCGGTGTTATTAGAAGCAATGAAAAGTTAGCTCTATAGATTGTGATATCTCAGCAAGTTTGTTTAAGATTTTATCAACCTCAAAGATCAGGTAAGTTGGTGCTGAAAAATTATACTTAATAAAAAGTAAACCTTTAGTATTCTGCAGAAATTTATAATAGAATACTGGTAGATGGCACTAATATCGTTAGTAAATAAATCGGATGACCGAGACTATAGGAACTATAAAACATATACAATAATAATGACTAAGATAGTACATTACTTTGATTATTTGCTAGGGGATTACCATTAGTAAGGATCAGCTTCATCACTTTTCAAGTTCTTACCTAAAATGTCGAACCTTTTTTAGTTTTTTCAATAATTATATTTCTTCTAACCTCTTCATGTTGACACAACTTCAGTAAATGTGTCAGAAATCACACTCAAAATATCATGCAAGACGTGAAATGAGAGAAAGAGTAAATGAATGGCGCCTAAAACAAGTAAAATATTACCGTTAGAAAAACTAAAAAAAGAAGCCTCAGTTAGTGTATACGGAGCAAGTAAGCCGCTTATTCTATAAATATGTCACCTAACCTTAAGTATGAGGGCGTAATCGTCGTTCACGACGCACCGAAGACATTGTGTTCGCGGCAAATTTTATATGCATAAGCCCCTCGACTTATAATACTAATATACAATACCAATTGCACAATGAACGCATACAATAATTGAAAAGGCGTCGCTCTTTCACTCATAATATTTCTATTATATCCACATGTGTTTTCTTGTTTTCCACTTGCTGCTTATTGACGTTACTTTTTTATGACCTAAACAAGTCGTTTTATACTGCTGCTAAGTATCTAGTTGTTTGGACCAAAGGTTAAATATGTATGTATACTTACATACATAGAAAATGTATAAAACGTCGCGAGTAAGAACTTGAAGTATACTTTCAAGCGCTCACACATGCGTATTGTTTGAGGAAGCTCAACACATATAAATGCGCACTCCGCGAGCCATATATATCACCAAATAGCTGCGAAGCGCCATGTTTGCTGCCACCTCTTTTCCCCTTTGGATACGTATTTATCTTTGGGTTTCCTTTAGGGGTATTTTATTTTTTGGCAAATTGTCTTTGCAGCCTACTTTACAGCGCCGAATTACAGGCAGGCAAGCACGAGTTTGCCAAAAAGGCGTGGAATATGAATAATATTTCCAACTGTGCGCACTGCGTTAACCGGCGTTGAATGAGAGCGTAAAATATTTTTGTTTTACATTATTTTTATTTCCTGCTCTTGACCGCTTTTCTCCCAGGCCGCAGAGTTATAAAGCAACGCACGCTATTTTCAGCCAAAAAAAAAATATTTATGACCGCTCGAGTGCAAGGGTGGAAAAACAGTAAAATGTGCGTTTATTTATTGCTTACTTTTAGGCGGGTCATAAATTAAAATTTTAAGTGGGCAAAACATGGCCGACACAACATGAGTGTATATACATAAATAAAGACGAAACCGGGTCATAAGAGTGAAATGGGTGTAAAAACGGAAAATTGCGTACTAATTGAGGAAAAATGGCCCGTAAAATACGGATCACCTAAACAACTTTAGAATAAGCGGCGATTTGAAAGACTTTGCAGTGAATCGAATTAAAGCGTGACTTATTGGTAGAAAATTTTTTGAAAATTAACATTACATTCCTGTATTACTAAACTCATATCGCTATACTCTGGACATATTTTACATAAGTGCTAAATATTGAAACGCTTAAGGTTAAAGCAGAAATAATAAACGATACAATTTTGTGAAGGAGGCGGGAGTTTCGCTATAGCTGAGTTGGACATATAACTGTTTAATAAATAAAAATAAAATTAAAAGTTATTGAGATTCATTTTATGCACATGAAGTTTTTTAATAAAGTCCGTCTCATCCTATATGCAAATACATGTTGGTTAACTTTTACATTAAATAACTGTTTGAATTGACAAATTATTTTAGAATTTTCGACACCGGTATTCTCATTTGATGCTGACTTTTGTAGATCACGATACAATCGGAGACCGTACTTATCTTGTCCTCAAAATAACTAGTCGTCAGTCAACGTCCAAAGTCTTACATACAAAGTCAACTCTTACTTTTATACAATTTTCGCTTAATTATACCCAGAACAGGGTATACATATTAAGTTTTCCAAGAAGTTTATAACACCCAGAAAGAAACGTCGGAAACTCTATGAAATATATACATATACATATAAATTATCAGCATGACGAACGAGTTTATGTAACGAACTAATTCTAGATCGGATCACTATAGCATATAGCTGCCATACAAATTGACTGATCAAAACCCCATATATTTTATCTTAAATTATTGAGCACAATACATAAACACAGTAAAAATATTAAATGTTTTAGTTAAAAGGTTTTGATTCAAAAATTGTAGGCCGGGACATTATCTGGTCGAGGGATCTCTTCTTCTTGAGAAAAAATTAGGTGAGAGAAATTATTATTATTTATTGAAGATGATTCTCATTACTGTTTCATACAATTACTAACGGGATAAAAAAGGTTAAGCTTGAGTAAAACTTCACAAATTCCCTGCAAGAAATGAAATAATCCTTACGACAAAATCTGCTTTAACTACATTGGTTATCTCCAACAAAACATGCACATTTAAAAAACTCAAAAAAAAATTTAACAATTCCATCTGGAATTGAAGGAAATAAACACTTCCACTGGACAATGAGCTTTAATCATCCATTGCGGCTGAGCGTTGTGCCGACAAGTCAAATCCGCTTAAGTTTGCAAATTGCGGCTTATAAAAATGTCGATTGAAAACTACGACGACAGTACCAACAGCAACACAAACATAAGAGAGTAACGTTACACTAAAACACTTTGACAACTGCAAAAACAATTTACAGTAATTCCGTTTTGATTTTCCACAGTAGAGTTGTTAAAAAGCCGATTGAGTAGTGGAAAGTAGACACCAACTTAGACGCCAGTGAGCAGCTGCGAAGAGAGTGGAGCCCAAGGCAAGCATGAGCAGAAGCACTTGGCAGCAACAGTAGCAGAATTAATCAAGCAATAACAAGATGTAAATGTTATGCATTGAATCGCGATGAGTTGCAGCAACCAAAACAAATAAAACAACGACAACATCGTAATCATCCGAGTACCAACCAAATGTTTTGTAACTGCACTTTGAACACACACACACACACAGGTTCTCAAGCAAAGAGCAGATTTAATTCAACTTGGCATTCGTGTGCAAGTACTTCACTTAAGAAACTGCAGTGGAAAGAGGAAGTGGTGGCGTGGGATAGGGGAAAGATTACATTTAAGCTGCAAAGATTTTCACACCATCGCAGCTCAGCAAAGTGTGTGTGTTGTTGTTTTAAAATTAAATTTACGCTCGCAGCGAGTTTCTGCAGATGTGCACTTGTATGCAGAATGTGCAGTTATATTGTTAGCTGAGGAGTTAGCTGCTCAACAGTAAGTTGTTGAGTTGGATTACGAAAATGAAGCGTCTGCAGCGCAAATAAATACACATATATACTGTACCTGCATACATATCTGCTGTATATGTGTATATATATACATATAAACTGCATGTATAAACTTGTAGATCTGTATCTGTTTCGCGCATCTTAAGATGTTGTACTACTGGTTACAAACACTTTGGGTCGCATAGGAAGTGCCTCGCTTTATTCTTATGTTGAAGAAATGGGGTGGAATCGGATAAAAGAAAGTACTTGTTGTTGTTTTTATAGTATAAGTAGTACACGAATTTTCAATCGCTCGCTTCCTTCCGGCTTAGCAACTACTAAGACTACTCCATTGGTTAGTCTGCTACTTAGCGGCCATGGTTAAGCTATTTTTTGGAACGAGGTTGTATTCACTGTGAGCAGAAAAGTCTTTGTTTCAATTAATGATAACTCGCAAATAAATATGTATGAATATAATGTTAGGGCTAGTTAAAATAAATCTATTATTTTTTCAACATATGGCTTTAGAGATCTGCATCTCACGTCGTATAAATGTATGTATATAATATGGCATTAGAATGATAAGATTTCCTAATTAAAGACACACACCATGTATTATGTTGTTAATATTCGAAAATTTTTATGTCAAAGATGCATTACGCCCTGACAGACCAATTGTCAAAAATATCCATAAAAGCCAGGATTGATGTTCAGGAGGATTTGCCGCATATTTTGTGGAATTTAGTGACAATTTTCTGCTATGAGCTGCCCCCTACAGCCAATCTCTTATTTCGAACTTTTGCTGTAAGTAATTGGTCCTCTGAAGAAAACTATGACCCAGAAGCGACTACCTTTGACCAATAGGAGCGTGTGTTCCATCAAGACGCCAGGCCACACACAACGATAGGGACTTGCCACAACCTCAGGGAGTTTGGTTGAGATGTTCTTAGCAGCCACTTTGTAGTTTGGAATTAGCTTCAAATAATTACAGTTTGTTTCTGTCTATGACGAATGTTTGTTTCTGTCTATTTGCTGTTGAAAAATTCATCTCAAGAGACGCTTTTAAAACTCGACTACCCCAGTGTTAAGACATAGGTCAAGTTTATTATGAAATAACCCTCATAAAACCAACGAGTTTCCGAACAAAACGGTGCATAATTACCCAAAATCTAAAAATTCTAACTATGCTTAATAAAACTTTAACTTTTATACATACTTACTGCATACTATATGAGGATTTAGCTTTGCGGATAGGTACTAAAGCAATAATGCATGAAATCGCTGATAACAACCCTTAGTTTAATTACTAAACTCTTGTCACTAACTATAACTTTTTAAGAATGCGGCGTTCAGGAACAACTAAAATTTTAGTTAAGCCATACTAGTATATCGATAGACAAAGCATATGCTTACAAAATTTTTCACAACGTAAATTGTGTAAATTAAACAACTACAATTTGCCAAAATTCCAAAATTCTTATCTATGAAACGAAAAAGAACTCCGAAAATTTCAGAATTTCTTTAGATATGTTAGAGGTATAATATAAAAAAGTTTGAAGCCAAAATTTTCCCGCGATGGTTCCTTTTTTCGATTTTCCAAAATTCAAAATTTTTAACATTGGTTTTCAAATTTTTTTTTCAACACAATTTTTTTGTGTCCTTTGAAAACTCACCAGCGTTCTTTGTTTAATATACAGTAGTTTCTGAAGTATTAAATAAATAAACTCATAAATTTAGTAAACAGTGAAATTTTTAATTTCGTATAGCGTTTAGGAATTTTTTTCAAAATTTTTTCCTTTGGCAGAAAGTTGTGTTTAATAAGACAAAATTTTCGCGTCCAACTATTTGTCGATTTGACATGGAATAACCCCATTGGTATTTGCTATAGCAAGGGGTGGAATTAATAGATAATTAACTGAAACGGCGACTGTCTACTTTGTTGCCTGTGATTGGTATCTATTTTTTTCTATTTCTAATTTCCAAAATGTTAATGTTTTGTGTAATATAACATTTTTCGTTTAAAATAAACAACCAATTGAAACTACAAAAGAGCAATTCCTCGTGGAAATTAAAAATTAAACAAGCACTGGTGCGGATTGTTCCAAGAAATACAAAAGACGATAACAATTCCAAGCAAGTTCATTATGTTTCCAAAGCAGCATAGGTTTCATCTTAAATTTATTCTTCGCAAGGACTTTGACAATGGCCGGCTTCAAACGTGCACCAATAACAATAACTAAGTTTACACAAGTGCATAGAAATGAATTGTCACACTTCGACTATGGCAACAATCACAACCACTCAGTACTACGTAAAGGAGGAAGAACAACTGCAATAATAATAAGAATACTTAGAAATTCACAGCAGCGGTGGTAGAAAACTCAATTGCTTGTGCTAGCACAGAATCGACCAAATCTAAGCAACTGCTTGCCGCTCGGCACTAGCTGGCTATTCTAAAATTCATAGCATGCTTTTAGGCTATGTAGGCTACAAACAAAGCT